CCACAGCGCCACCCAGCGGCCGGTGTCCGGGAAAGGCAGTTAGGGCTTTTGCGTTGCCCCGGAAGAGCTGGGAGCTGGGTGGTGCAGAGCCTGGGGGAAGCGCCTGGAGGAAAGCCAGCGCAAAGGCTGGACAATTTGTGCTTGATGAGCTTTCTAAACCAGACCCTCCGTTCACTTCGTCCATCAATCCATCCAGAACGTGGCACTAGTTGACTCTCACTTCAGGTCAGCTGATGATATTCTTCGCAGCCTCAACAATCTTCCATGGTTCCCAGTGGGCCACGATGTGAAGCCAGCCCAGATTTCCTGGTCTGACTGACCTTCAAGGCCTTCCATGTTTTTTACCTTAGGCAATCTTTCAAGCTCGTCTCTTGCCACCCACTCTCATCCTAAACCACTCTCTTTTGCCTAAATGAACTACTTTTACCACCTCCACATTCATTTACTCTGTGGATGTTGACTAAAACATTAGAGAAATGACAAAAAAAAAATGACAAAAAAGGTCCTTGTCTGCCTTGGAGCTTCCATTCAAATGCAGTGATAACAAACAGGATGTAAAAACCAACAAAGCGGATGTAAAACCCATTGTCCCATGTCCACTTAGCATTTAAAATAGTTCCATGCAGTCTAGATGGTATAAGAAGCAAGGTGGCACGTTCGACTATTGCGGCAAGAAGGGCACTATTATGTGTTGAGTAGTCAAGAGAAGCCCTCTGAGGAATTGACATGTGAGCTGAAACCTGATAATAAAGTGTCAGCCTTGCAAAAGTCGGAGAAAGAACATTTGAGGCTGAGGAACTGCAAATACAAGCGTAGCATAGTGCAGAAAAAGAAAATAGGTGGGGTGACGAAGTGAGGGGAAGTGATGAGGAGGGAGCAGAAGGCAAATTGCTTCGGGCTGTGTAGAGCTTGGTGAGCCACGGGAAGGAATTCAGATTTTCTTCTGTGTGATGTGAAACATCGGGAATGGTTAGCAGGGGGATATGGGATGGTTTTCAATCTTCAGAAGACTTCTGCAGGAAGGATACACACTCAGAAACTGAAAGACAATTTGTGCACACCCCCTCCAGTACCGGATGTCAGTTGTGCTGTTGGCCTTGGCCATTCTGACTGGGGTAGAATGAAATCTCAAAGTTGGTTTGATTTGCATTTCTATATTTGCTAAGGATGATGAATATTTTTTAAATATTTCTTAGCTATAACTTTTTTTTTTGGTCTTTTGAGAGCTCTCTGTTCAGATCTCAGGTTCATTTTTTTGAATGGGTCATTTGTGAGACATGGTTGACTCTGGCCTAAGAGTCATTAGTGGCCTGAACTAGGTTGACACCAATGGGCATCAGAAGACATTCTCAGACTATACAAGTATTTCGGAAGATTTCTGTCCAGGGTTTTCTCCCTATCCATGCCAGGAGCTCTTGAGGGAAGATGCCATGTTTGAGTAACCTGTTGACACTCATCCTGAACTCCAAAGCAGTTAGCCTCATGGCGTTCAGTACTAAGTGAAGAGATTTCCGTGTGACTTGACACACTGCTTGTAACATGACAGACATAGTAGCAATGTGACAGAATTTTGAGCCTGTTGCTGTGATGGACTTCTGCCATTTTCTTTCTTTATTGCCCAGTGTCTTCTATGCTAGCAACCAGACCCAAGGCCTTCACATACGTTGCTTTGAGTTGTTTTTTACCTATTTAACGTTTAATCCCATCCCTTTGTTTTAAAGACCAAACTCGAGAGGAGAAAAAGGATTCTCTGAATGTTGGGTAGAAAGTCAAAGTCATCATAGCATAAACTGTTCACTATTTTGACTCTCACATAGGCTCTTCTTCCCGCTTACTCCAATTGTGTATCTGCATCCATTATGCTAAGGTCATTTTTAGCCTCTCATTAATTATTATATCCACTGTATATCACAGTGCAAGCCAATCTTGGGGTGAAATTGCAAATCTTAAAAAAGATTCAAGATTTCGTGATGTCAATGAAAGTCACACAAAATCCTTGCTAAATGGGGATTTGGCAGGGATACACCAGTTAGTTCCCACTGGGAAATTGACCTGGGTAATGACAGGATCAAGGTTTCAAAGAGAACAACTCAATTCTCAAAAGAACAGAACAGGTCCTTTGGATAATTGAGGAAGCTCTCTAATTTTAGAAAAACAAAACCTTGCTTATGACGGTGCTGCAAAAGTCAACATTGTGCTCTTGGGCACTTTGGTCTGGAAAAATTGCATTATCCTGCAACGTCTGAGTCATTTTTTTTTGTTCATTCTAAGAATTAGTACACATTTGCAATTATTTATACATTTTCTTTCTAAAATTTTCAACTTCATTTCCAGGTTAAAGTCTCAATTGAGACTTTCCCTTTTCTCTGACTCCACTATGAAATGTCAGTCCCCACTTGAAGCCGCTTCATTGTGGCCTTTTTTCTAGCACCACTTATCCTGAAATAGCAAGGACTTCGTGGAGCTGCATGAACATCTCCTCTCTGGTGATGGCCAGGCCTGGCTGCACATTAGAACCACTTGTGGTGTTTGTTAAATAACGCTGAAGCTGGGACTTCCCCCCCCCCCACTAATTAAACTAGACATTTTGCTGGTGGGGCCTGTGCTCATACTCTGCAGGTGATCGTGATGCATGACCAGGGATTCGGGCCACTGCAGTCCTCCCTGCCCCACCCCTTCCTGCTGTGCTAAGAGACGGAGGCTGGCTGTAGCTGCACTGACCAGAGGGAGAGTGTCAGGGTCTGGGTCTAGATCAAGGGATGCACACAGAGGGGTAGCTGCAGGGTGATGCTGGCTTGTTTCAGGAGTCAAAGGGTGGCCTATGACTTGTAGAGCTACTTGTTTGGCACAGCCATTATACCCTGTACTCCCTAGATGCATATTCCCTACTCCTTGAGTTTTTGTGGGTAGTAGCTTATAGAGTCCATCTCTCTGTCTTATGCCCAAGGCCAATAGAGCCTTGGACATGTGTGTGGCCAGTATTATAGTGAGCATATTACGAATTAATTTTAAAAATCATGTGGTGTGTCTAGAATGCATCCATCCCACTGTACTGCCAGCATCCAACACAGTTGACATATTGTAATTGCTCCATAGGTATATTTTCAATGAATGAACAAGTTGAACACAGGCAGGATGTGATATGTACCATGATTAAAGAACAAAGCATTATCAAAGTACGGGGAAAGAGTATTTCCTGCTGGAGAAAAGAAAGGACGTGAAAGTGTTCGTGGCGGAAAGGATATTTAAGCTGGATTTTGAAATCTAGGGAAGGCAGTGATGGGGAGAACATATTCCAGGAAGAAGAAAGTGATGAGCGCAAAGGGCAGGAGATGAGAAGGTGTAGGGCTCATTCAGAGAACAATCAGCTGGAAATAGGTTAAGACCCGAGTACAGCAGCATTATGGGACACTATCACACTGGTGGGATAGGGTCAGAAAGCAGAGAGCCTCGAGTGTCATGCTCAGAGCTTGCCTTCATTCTACAGGCAGTGAGGAGCCATCTGATGTTTCTGATGTCGTACATGTGTGTGCACTTGTGTCTGTGTGCTTGGTGTTTTGGAGTCATGTCAGCTTTAGGAAGAGTAGCTGTGTCCTTTAGGAAACTCAAACATACCATTTTATTATTGTTATTTTGTGTATATGCTTACATATATAAGCGCACCACATGCAGGTGCCTAGTGCCCAGATAGGCCAGAAGAGGATGCCAAATGTCCTGGAACTGCAGTTATAGATGGTTGTGAGTCACCATGTAGACGCTGGGAACTGGACCAGGGTCCCCTCCTGGCCAGTGCTCTTGACCACTGAGCCATTCATCTCTCTAGGCACAAATATGGCCATTGTATTGAACTCCCCCACAGTACCTGGAAGTGCGCTAGGTAGAAGATTGACTGGGGCAGAGTAATTGGACAAGAGATTAGCTGGACAATAGTTAGGCTACTATCATAGTCCAAGGAGAGGTCCTGAAGTGGCTTATTGGGATTCAAGATGGAAAGGAGCCGGGCGGTGGTGGCGCACGCCTTTAATCCCAGCACTCGGGAGGCAGAGGCAGGCGGATCTTTGTGAGTTCGAGGCCAGCCTGGGCTACCAAGTGAGTTCCAGGAAAGGCGCAAAGCTACACAGAGAAACCCTGTCTCGAAAAACCAAAAAAAAAAAAAAAAAAGATGGAAAGGAGAAGGGCTTGATACATACGTAGTACAGAGGTGACAGAATTTGGTGACTGAGATGGGAGTGAAGGAAAACGGAATGATCAGCGATCACCAGCTGTTGTGTCAAGTGATTATGCACATCACCTTTTTCTCCCAATAAGGTGGTGAGTTGACTTTTTAGATCCAGTCTGGTTTCAAAGGCCATGTACTAAGTGTCTTGTTCCATTGTGTTGATGGAAAGGGGCACGGGGCTTATGTTTCCTTGAAAAGTCATCTGGAAGCTGATTCTAACGCTCTCCTTTCCTCCGTTCTAAGAATGTGAATGAAAGAGCCTTGGTGGCACAGGCCCGTCTGCTGCTCCTTCAGCAGCCGTTACTGAGCATGTCTTGCTCTTGCAGTGGGAAGATGAGCCTGGCGCAGTGGCCCATAGGAAATTAGGGAGGGTGGTTGATTAGCTTTTAGGAATGATGGGACATTCTATCAAAATCTAGTCCTGGCTTCCCTTGCATTCCAAGCAAGGCCTGGCCACAGGCCTCACATTCCCACAGTGGAACCCTGGCTTTGAGCTTGGGCCTTCCCATGTGCTCTGAAGTTCCTTCCACTCCGGGTTGAGCCTGCACTTTGCCTCCCCTTTGCCTTCCATGTTACACTTACCGGCTCGGCCACTGCCCGTTGGATGGCTTTGTGATTTCCTTGTCTAGGGCAGTGCACTACAAAGTCTGCCTCCACCCCCACCCCCTCACCCCCACCCCCGAGATTTAAACTAACTAGAGTGTTGCTGTCCTCAGTCTTTAGAGTGTTTCCTAGAGCGGCAGGCGCAAGTCTGCAGAGTCAATCCATGAAGAGAGGGTTATCAAGTTTTACCATTTATTTCTTTAGGGGGTTCAACAAGGGCAGGGCGCTCCCTGCCCCACACTGCAACAAAACGGAAAGCAGGTACACACACAGACACTCTCACTGGAACACAGAGGCCGGGAAAAGAGAGGGCAGAGACAACTCAACTGTAGCCAGGGAGAGGAGCAAGGGCTGGGAGGAGACTACTAGGGAACCAGCTGGGGGACTCAGTCACAGGAACTAGTGCAAGAAAGTCCTACTCATGAAGCACAGTGTAGAAAATGGCGTAAGAAAGCTGCCCAGCTCTGCTTCCTGTGACGGAGGGCAGGGTGCAGCTGGGGAGGTGGCGGAAGTTCGGGGGTGGGGGGAGATGGGGATAGTCAAATGACTTTGAGGTGGAGTGTGGTGCCCCTTTCCCCTGCCACTGGGCAAGGCCTTGGGCTGGTCTGAGCCGGGGGTCTCCAGGGCACTTGGTGAGGGGGAAGAGAGGATGAGAGTCTCCAAGGGGCCTTTCCCTGGGACTATGTTGTCCCCCTTTGCTGCCCAGTCCCGTGTCCCCTCCTGAGGAAGCAGGAGTGACGAGGCAGTACTGGGGTCTCTCTGGAGCTCAAGCCCCCGCCTTTCACTTATACATAAGCACGTCTGGGAAGGGTCCAGCACCTCTTACCCTCCCCAGCTGAAAAGAGCACTCTAGGGCTGGGGTATGTGGCCAGGCCCAAAGTGCTGAGGGCCCAAAGATGGAGGACACAGGGTCCAGGCAGAGGACAGGCTGTGAGATATGAGTAAACCGGCAGAGGAGGGCTCCATAGGCTCATGAAGCTGATTTGGGATCCAACCACGGCCCTTGAATGAAGGAACCCTAATCTACTAGGGAGGCTTCCATTCATTCTAAAGCTGGCAAGGTACAGCTCCTCCTTCCTTTGCCCTCGCCTGTTTCTCTGAAATGCTGCTCCGGGACTGTCCCCCTTATTCATCCTTTTGATTTCTGAAAGCCCCTGGCCTGTCCCCCAAAGAATCTGCCTCCTGTTCTTGTCAACTTTCATCGGCTTTTAGATGCCAAGGCAACGTGGCCTCCCTTTCCCCCAGCAGATCAGTGCAAGGCCAAAGGCTCCCAAGCCTCTTCTCACGTCCCTCTAGCCTGACTAAACAACTTTGGCAGCCAACGGTCGTCAGCAGCACATTAGCTCCACGTCAAGTCCTCTTGCCAGCCTCTGAATTTTGTCCAGCAAGGGCAAGGGGTGGCTAGAGAAAGGGGCCCGCTAAAGGGTGAGGAGTCTAGCTGTCCCTCAGGAGGACAATAGGCCACAAGGTCAGGGGTGGGAAGGGAGGAATACTCTTTGGTAGGCTGGGGATGGGCACAGGGTGGGAGTAGGGGAGGCTCATCTCTGGAGAGCTCTGGGGGCAACACCACCCGGTTCTCCTTCATGGAGGCCTGGACTAGGACAAGATGGGGGAGTGTAGGGACCCAGGCCAGGCCTGACGCACTTGGGCTCAAGTCCCTCCTCCCCGTGGAGATTGGAAATGAAAGGTCTGTGGCCACGAGGCCAAGATTTCCAGGGCAAGAGCAGCCCTAGGGAGTGTGTGCACCTTCTGTAAGATATGGCCCTCCAGACAGCGGCAGTCCAACCATGTGCCCTCAGCCTTCTGGGTTTTGGCTCCTGGGCTCTTTCCCCAGGGGTCTCCTTAGGCACCTCATTCTGATTTGAGGGGCCGTTCTGAAGCCTGCCTCAACACTAACCCCCACCTCCCCGAAGCCAGGTAGCCGTAGTCCACCCATCTCCTCGTGCTCTGTCCTACCTCTCCCCTTTCGTCTTCCCTTCCCTAGCTTTCTTCCCTTCCACCACCCATTCCACACCCAGGTCCAACCCTTCCTTGCCTAGGGTGGTGGGGGCGCCTCAACGGGGCCACCTTTCTAGCTGCAGCCCTGTGGGCCTCAGCTTCCAGTCGGACGGACGGACGGACGGGCGCGTCACCTGTGACGGCCCCACACTCAGGGTGTGCTCAGGCGGCGGGAGGGCAAGCACACTGTCTGCCGTCACCTGTAGGGGTATGGGCAGGAGGGAATTAAGGATCTTGGTAAGGAAAGGAATGTGGAGGGGGGAGAACGCCTCCCCTCTGTGCCCCCAACATTCCCTCAAGGGCTGAGGCTGGGTAAGCAGCCTCCTTCCCTGGGGTCAGGGCTCTTGGCAGGAGGGGGCGATTCCAGCCCCCACTCTCCCCGTTTTTTACTAAGCCCCACAGGGGGGGGCCTGGGAGGGGACACCTGCTGCTCCTACCTTTTTCTCCTGGGTGAGTTTTGCAGGCTCCGTGTGGGCCCTCTGGCCATTCTGTTGGAGCTGCTTTTAGGGAAGGGGTGGATTGGGGGCAGTATCTGGTCCCCCTGGCGTCTCCCCCACCCCCCACCTGGTCCTCCCTTTCCCCACCCCACCTGGAGCAGGGCTGGAGCCGACATCAGTGTGTGGTGGAGGTCTGTCCTCCCTCCCTGATGTCACTCTTCCTGGGTCAGGCCCTTCTCTAGGGCAGGCAGTGTCTCCAACCCCAGGCCCCCACCCCCCTGGCTGCTGGAGAAGGACACTACGGTATGGAGGAGCATAAGAACAAGAACACAGAGCCGGATCCTGCTGGGACTGAGGCACGAGCCCCCAGAGACCGGCAGCAGGGAGGGCTTGTTGCTGACACGGCTCGGGGGTTCATGGCGGGGGTGGTAGTGTTGGTACTGTTGGTAGTGGTGGAAATAGGAATGGTGGAATTGCTGGTGGTGGGTTTGGGGGGGTTCAGATTCCTTGAACTTCTTCTTCTCCGACTCACAGGACACCCACTGCACGTCACAACACTTGGTTTCCGGCCGCTTTGGTGAAGTATCCAGCAACCCTGCCAACGGATAAGGAAGGTGTGTGTGTCGGGGGCTGCTTAGGGGGCTGATGGCTCTGCCTTATCTGGAAAAGGGATGTTCAAAGCTGAGGCTCAGGTACCCTACTAAAGAAACCCTCCCTGCCAGCCCTCACATCTCCCCTTGAAGTCCCCTTCTTACAGGGACGACACCAGTTTCTCCAGAGTGACTTGTGGCGCAGCATATTCTGAGTAGATACAGCCACTCAGGTCTCTCTGTCCTGTTCCATTTGGCCCTATCTCAAACTGGGGACCTGATTACCCATTCCTCTTGCCACTGACCTCCATCCAGCCAGACTCCCCTTGATGTCTTTCTTGTCCCCATGCCCCTAACCTCTTTCACCTCCCCCCTCTTCCCCAGCACCCTGATTTTACCTGTACAGATAAAGCCAGGGAGGCCTCCATACACCATTTCTTCATTGTCAGGGAGGAAAAAGGGGCACAGGGTCTGCACCTCCAGGCAGTACTGCTTGCAGGGCACCCAGTGCTGGCATTCCTGCTGGGTCACACTGAAGTATTCTGAGCACAGCCAGGCCTTGTAGACAGCCTGCAGAAGAAACAAAACAGCATCAGCTCATGTGCCATGTGGGAGAGGGGCTCTTGTGTCTCTCTATGGGGCTAAGGCAACTTAACCCTGGAGTTTGGAGGCCTTGTTGGAAGTGTCTGCATCCTCCCCTAAGATAGCCAGGGCTCCTGAGTCCTCTAATCCACCACCATCCAAGCTTTAGAATTGTTAGCCAAAATCACAAAATTAATCCTGTGTCAGAATAGATGGAACGTTACCAATCATTTCATCCAACTCTATCATTTTACAGGTGGTTCCAAGAGGCCTTTTGACTCCTCTGAGGTTACCTATATGTAATGAGGCAAATCTCAGTTCCATTCAACCTGATAAACATTTCCTTTGCTGATGGCGCTAAGCTTCGAAATTCAAGAAAGAGATGAGACTAATTCATGCTCTACCTCATTGGACTAGTGGGGATTAAACAGTATGGCACATATGAGAATGTTTTATCAACTCCAAAGGGCAATACAAATGTGAGGGGTTATTCCGAATAAACACTGGAATCTGCCTTGCCAGGCAGCACATGTGTCTCCGAGCTCTACTTAATCCAGGCTGTCTTGCTGGCTTCAGCCCTGCTTTCAAGCAGCCATCACGCACACCGCTCCACTGCTTCTGGAATCTTCCTTTGTGCTTTCATCAGTGTACTTTCCTTCCTTCTCCTAGCCCACCCCACCCCCAGCACTGGTTCTAGTGAGAAAGCCCCCCTGCACCACACCTTGTCTCTCCTCAAGTCTACGGTGTCCCACAGAAACTTGAGGCCCTTTGGGACAGATACTTCTTTGTCTTAGGGGTTGTGCTGTGCCTTGTAGGATACTGAGCAGCATCCCTGGCCTCCACACATTAGATACCAGTAGCAATGTCTCCTCTCAAAGAATGTCCCCAGCCTCAGTCAAATGTCTCCTGGGGGAAGCAAAAGCCACGCCTTTTTGAAGGCCACAATAAATCTCTCCCCTGGATGACAGATGCCTCCCACCTCCACTTCTGCTTGTTCCAATCTACTGCACGGGAATAAGAGTGGATTCAAGCTGCTATCAAATTATGTTACTCCGCTGCTTCAGGCCCTTAGATGCATTTAGACTAAAAGCCTAATGTCTAAGCAGAGACTTCAAAGCCCTGCACACCTCTGCCCATCTCTCTCCAACCTCATTTTCTATCTCTCTTCAAGCCCATCATGCCACACAAAACAGGTTTTCTTTCTTTTTCTTGAATGTGCCCTACTTCTTTCTACCTCCAGGCTTGGCACATGTGATCTGCTGGCTTGGAATGTTCTTCACCCCACCTTTGGTATACATGAGTCCTTTACATATTTCAGGCTCGGATTAAATATCACTTCTGCTGAGAGTGTCTCTTTCACTGCTCTCATCAGAGGACACAGCCCTAATTATTCTTAACTGTTTCTTCACCACAGATGCTACTTTGTCTGAATTCTTCTTTTAGTTTCTGTCAGCTCCACTAAACTGTGAGTTGCATATAAGACTGTGAGCTTCTTTATTAACCACTGTGCATTCAGCATAACATACATTTAAAAAATCTTATGACTGAATGAACAGGATAAGTAACTGAGGGCGGGTCCCTTCTCTCATGAAAACTCCAGTTTCACGAGTAGACATACCTAACAATCTGCGAAATAGGATTTATTCCACAGCAAGGGGTGAATCATGGTTCACTGTGGCTAATAGTAAACAAGGAAAATTTTCAATGAGGAGATCGCAGTTGAGATTGAGTGCTATGAATGTGGTTCAGTTAGTAGAGTCCTTGCATTTTTATGCACAAAACTTTTGGCTCAATCCCTGTCATCTCAAAAACTGGGTGTGGTGTTGTGCTTGTGATTCCATCCTGTATCCAATCCCTAGAACTGTATAAACTGGGTGTGGTG